CAGGAATTATTCTTCAAGGAGGCAACTGAGAAGACACAGAGACAACCTAAGTAGGGACCTGTCTACCTGCACACACACCCAGCCTCAGTTGTCAACAAGACTCCATTGCTTGTATTCTTGCCTCTAAGGAGGAAAGTCAGAGCTTGACATCTCTCCATATAGTATGATTAGCCATCACATTTTGAAATCTAATTAATCTAATTGGTACATTGTACTGCTAAAGCATTATTCTCCCCGTAATTTTGCATCACATTGTGCTGTCAAAATCGAAGTTTAAAGCTCCCAGCAATAAGAGAGAACATTTTGTTCAGAGAAACCAATTTCAAGATTCCTGAACACAAATTAAGATCTTCAGTTCCACAGGATGGAACTCAATTAAAAAAAATAATAATTTCCACCCCCATCCCCAGAACAGGTTGGCAAGACCGTGTGATCTCTGACCTGGAGATCATAAAAACTTGACTGGACAAGGCCCTGAATAACTTGCTCTAGCTGGATTTGGTTTGATTTTCCATCATGATAAAATGTGACTTCTACCTAAACATGAGCTGATTCCATTTCAGAAAGTTTTAACTTTATTTAGATTTTTAACAACTGGCTAAAACTGATGAAGTTGCTTAACTCTTCTGCATAGGAAGCTCAATTTTAGATTTTACTCACCATGACTACTTGTTCTCTTAGATGAGGCTGCTTTATAACTTATTTCATGTAATATTTCAATATCAAATTTAATATCACAGTTCTAACACTCTGCTTGTTTTGACAAGATTAATCCCCCGCTCAACAGACTGAGATTATTTAAGGACAAAAAACTACCTAGAGCCAAACTTTTCACCAGGTTTCATCACATATTTCTTCATGAAGCTCTTAGTCTCTTGTTAAGCTGTGCGTGTTTTTGGAAAAAGATCAAATTACCATTTCATGTCTTAACATATGCCATCTGAGACCAAAACTGACTAATCACTAAGAATTACTATACATTTTTCTATGTGCTCTTTCATTTTCTGTATTAAACTCATAAACTCTAAACTCTAAGATAAAAGAAACAATTTTAGTGATGACTCATAACTTTCAAATTCTCCTAGACAGAGCTTTCATCCTTGTTTTCCCAAAAGAAAATAATGAAAAGGCTTGTTCCTTACTGACCATTAAATAGCACTTTATCTTGTTGACATATCTGTGTTACCTGAAAACCTTGAAAGATTAGTATATCATTACATTAAGGAAAAAAATATTATATATAGTTCAGAATGCAAGGCACTTTATATTATATGCATTTTACATATCTATCACATAAAATAATAGCCCCAACAACATTTTTTCACTTGAGAGCAGATTTTTAGTATAATACTCAAAATAAAATTGAAAGTATTCTTTAAAAGAAGCCCCTGGAAAACATACACCAGCTCTGAAGATGGCTTCATTTCCTCTGTGTCATCTGCTCTAGAGGCCAGATATGTTCCCTGCTTGAAAGACAGGGCTTCAAATTGCTGTTTCCAACCCTGTAAACATTTTTGCTTAAAAAAAGGCCTGTCCTTGATATGCTGTCAGCCCTTGCCTATCCTTTTCCAACAGATAATGCAGTGTGTAACACAGCACAGACAGTTCAAACTAGCTCTCTGTTGCTTTCTGAGCTAGGAAGATTTTTAAGGGGCAATTTATCCTCCAATGTATAAAAACAGTAACAGAGAAATATTGTTTCTATATAAACCCTACTTTAGTGATTGGTGTGCTTCATCCCTGTCACCATCCCCATTTTCCTTCCTAAAGTCAACATTTGTAAAGAGAATGACTGGACTCTCCAGGTGTAATGTAAGTACTACTGGCACAGGTTGGCAGAACCACTCAAAAGTTTAAATTGCTCATATATATACACACCGAACAGTTTACTGATATAAACTCAACACTTCAGGGGATCACTTTCATCAAACTAGCAGTAAGAAATGAAAAAGATCTACTCTGGCTTATGGACAATGTCCAAAACTGCAACGCTTAGTCATTCAGAGAGCTGTTAACTGTGTGAACCCAAGAAAAGCACTCAAGTACCCACAGTCCGATTTAGGCACAAGACCTTGACTTTGCTTTCAATTTAACAGGCTATTGGCTATTTTTTTGTTCATCACAGCATTCCATTTCTACTAATATAAGCATTTTTATGGCTAATAAGCCTAAATAAAAAAAATGGAAATACACTCTGAAAAAAAATCTGTCAGATAAAATAAGTTGTAAATCCTGATTTGACGCTGCAGCTGAAGAAGTGAAGCAGCAAGCCTCTGTCCCCAAGCCCGGGTCCAAACAGCCAGTTTTATGAGACAATGAAGCACCAACAGCAAAGATGCAAGTTTGTAATGCTACAAACTACCAGGGAACAGCTGTGTTCCTCGATCTTTTGCCTCAAACATAAAATGGTTCTTTAACCTTGTTTTAACCACCAAATTTGGACAGAGGCATATACATTTATTTGCTACTCCATAGCCTAATACACAGCTCTATGCATTTATCAGAACCATCTTACTCAGTAGAGAGTTTATTCTTCCTCCTTAAAGTCCTCTTACTAAACCTAACCTAAATAGAAACACATGGACAATAAAAAAAGTTAAGCTACCTTTCCATGTCAGTTATGACAGAACTTCATCAAGTTTCTGTAAACATTTAGAGATAATCTGAAATTATTAGATTGACGCCCACAACTGTTTTAGGAACAACCTTGTGTATTTCCACAAAAAAAGCTGCCTTCGTATTCCACTTTTTCTTCTTGCCTTCTCTTGCAATTCCTTTCTTGTAAAAATGGAAAAGATTGGCTTCCCTCACCTTAAATTACAAATTCCACATAAAGAGAAGTACTATTTGAAAGAGTAACTGTATTTTAGATACATGAATAATCCTTCAGAAAGAAGGGTCTTTGCATCTGACAGCTTGCCTGTTTCATTTATCTTCTCTCCATTGATACACAGCTGGTCTTATAAAAGTGTTCATTCCCACAATCTTTGCTTCCCTTAAATTCTTAAATAAGTGCCCTCTGCAGAAAAATTAACAAAGCTGTGGATATAAACAGGATATATCTTAATTAAAGTGTGACAGATTACGCTGTTTATATCAGCAGTAGGAAGCTCAGACACAAAAGAGAACAACAGGGGGAAAAAAAAAGGGGGGGGTGGTGAATGAAGAGGAATAAAAATTAACTGTATTCCAGAAGTAAACGTTCCTCAGACATCAGAAGATATAAAACCAAACAGTAAAACCCAAGTGTGCCTACTTAGCATCTCCTGCTTAAGAGTAATCATTATTCTCATCAAAGAAGATTAAAGTTGCATGTTGTACAGAAGTATCTTTAAATATATGTGCAGCACATCAAGTTTAGAGGATTAAAAGTGAGTTTAGCCTGAAATAACACTGGATCTAATAATAATAAAAACTAATCTTCCACTACTGACAAGCCCTGATAATCCAAGAGTAGTAGGAGGGAAAAAAACCCAAACCCTTCATGCTCCCATCTTGTGGACAGCCTCTAAATCCATCATTTCCAATAAAACATTCTTTCCCTTAGCCTGCATTTGTTTATATGACAGCAAAACTGCTGCAAAGGTGGCTCAGGAGGTAATTCATAGTAAGGTCTGCACAGCCTTTCACGCACCTACACCCACCAGGATTCAGCAGTAGCTACACCTCTCCCTCAGCACCCAGTAACTGACTCTTGTCTCCAGGGCCTGTTGCTGGTGCCAGGTCCATCAGGCCCAGAAGTATAAAGTGGGTGCTGCTGCCTCAGCTTTGGCTAATCACGGAGCTGGACTCCTGAATCCAAAACATGCTCTATGGACACTTGAAACATAATACATTCCAAGGGAGTAGATTTTTTTTCAAATACCACATTTTTGAGAGATACCTTGCCTTGTACTGAGCAGTGATGTGCAGTGTCTGAAAACTAAAACACTAAAGTTTAATGTACCACAAGTATCTGTAACTTGAAAAGGAAGTTTACTGTGCAATGCAATGGAGTGGAAACCTCTCTTTGTCTAAACAGATGGAAAAGTAACTTTTAAACATCGTTTTTGAGCATAAAAATTACCCAATTTCTTTTGTCGTGCTACAACCCTTAACATAAATAACTCAGAAGAATTGAAAAACTAAGAGCAAAGGAAGGGAATTTTCTTGAATCATAAAGTTATTTTATTATCTTCTGTTTCATAAAACCCTCTGTATTTATGTTCTCTTTCTGTCAGAGTTCATGGTGGTTCTCACAGTCTAATACTTTTTTAGCACAGGAATTTATTTCAAGTTTGTCAAATTGGCAGTTTGAAACAAAGTTCTTCATTCCAGACATCATATTCAGGCTGATCACGCAGCACACTTCAGATGTACATGGTGTAACCATACCCAGTCCTACTGTTCAGGAGAAAGTGTTTTACAGCCTTTAAAGTTACTTTTAAATGAAATGGAAAAGATATGGAGGGTGTTTTATTACTTGTCACTGAAAATTCATTGGCTAAAAAGGAAAAGGAGGAAGCAATTTAACTTGTGTGTACAGATGATACAGCTTGGGAAGGAACGGAAAGAGAGGAAAAAGCCAGTGTGTTTCTGCAGGCCAGCAAATGCCTGCAGAGATCAGGATATGAACACAATCAGAGCTTGGAACAGAACCTAAAATCTGTCCTTCCTCGTGCAAATGCTTTTGTCCAGCAAACTGCCATGAAACTACCAACAGAGAGTATGTTCTGCAGAACGCATAAGATAAGGCAATTCTGTAATAAAGCAGACTGAGAAAGAAGATACTTTGGGGAGGAAAAAGAGAAATATTATTAAGCTCATAAAAGCATTGGCAGAAAGTTAGAAAATAATAGAACTGAAGATGCACATTCAAATGACTTAAAGTCCCTTGGTGAAAATGCTTTATGATACAGAATTTATTTAAACAATTAAACAAGCAAACACTGCCCCACAGGAGTTCTGACCCTGTGTAGCAACTGTGTGGATTGGAACTTTGAAAGTAATTCAGTTTCTGTGTAAGCTCCTGCAAAGTCTATAGGATTTCTGGTTCATTTGTTGAAGAAATAAGAAGGCGAATAATAAAAGCAGTTTTGAAAATAGAGCAAGACTCTTAATTAAAAGTTAACTGAAAATAATTCCAGATAACTGAATTCTTATATACATCTGAGCAATTTACAACATATTTTTCACAAATGGCAAATAGTGTTCATTTTCTAGGTGCCAACCCTGCACAAAGCTTGAGTTCTCAGTAGCTCTGGAAACCTCAGCTGCACTTAAAACCAAGAGAACTTATGCTATCAAAGTAACAGCTGCTCTGAAAAACTGTATGGTAAGCTTCTCCTGGAGAAGAGATTTTTAGGGATTTTGACACAAATTGCTCTGTGCGTTGGATTCCTATCTACAAAACTAAACTAATGATACCATTTTCACGTGTGTTTTGAGGATGAATTAACTGGTGTCTGTGAAACACTTAGTAAGGCCAGAGAAAAAAAAACCCTCACGATGAAATTAGCAACTCAAGGGAATGCAGAGCTTAGCTGGAGTGTGGTAAATAAGACCTCAACCCCTGCACTGAACGATAAGGATAAAAATGGAACTCTGAATACTTTCCATTCAGTGAATAGCACTCATTTGTCTCTTGAATGGAGCAGAGATCCTGTGGAAAAAAATGCTATACAATCATGAGAAAGCCATTTGTAATTCATTACTCTGTTCTATAGTTGATTCTGATTAATGTTTTCTTTTCCTTTTCACATGATTTTTCTTTTATTCCCATTTATAGTCCTTTTTTTCCTGTATTTTTTTCTAACCAGAACACAGTGTCAGCAAAATTGACTATAAGATACTTCCCAACCTAACATGTTATAGAGCCTGCCCCCAGGAAACTGTCATTCCCTGTGATTTCGCTTAATCTAAACTAAATATATAAATTCTGGGCAATTTTGATTGCAGTATTTGTCTCTCTTGGGGAGAGCTATACCACATTCTTCCACCCAGTAACAGAATCCAGTTTACAGCATTTTCACAGCACAGGCTCTGTCTGATGGATGTTCCATCTGAAAAGAGGGTGTCCTGGAGGAAAGCATGGACCCCGTGACTGGCCACAGCAATCCAGCCAACAGCTCTCATCTTGGTCACTCATCCTTAAAGGTTTGAATCATATTCTGACACCTCATAAGCTGCTCAGAAAGCATACTGTTCACACCCCCACCAACTCCTGAAAGCCACCTGCCTGGTGCTGCACACCATGATATTTTCAGCTCACCATAGGGCATGCCATTTCTGAAGCAGGCTGCACTCTTTCTGTTCCCCACCAGTCTACCCTCCTGTCCCAGTTCTAAAGCTGTCACTGAATAGGAAGCACCAGCAATGCCAAGCCCTGCTTGGCATGTTCCATCATCCCTGAGGAAAATACATCCTATCTGTGTTTATGTCCTCTGCAGCAATGATAGTGAACTTTCCCCCAAGCAGACCAGCAGAAATCTGTTTCTGGACAGAAAAGAAAACTAGACAGAGCTCCAGACACTGCATGCAGGATGGAGCAGTCTTAATGCAACTCAAAAGCCCTGACACTTTTTGTGATTTACAGCACACAGGCTGGAGGTGTTACTGACCTGTTATTTCCTTGAAATCCCTGCATTAACCCTGAAATCAAACCTAGATGGAAAACGGGCCATGAATGGAGCACATTTGGCCACTGGGATGCAGCAGCACAGCAAGCAAATTGTGCCCATCTTGCTGATTACATACTGGGTTAAGCATCTGTAATGCCACAGAATTAAAGGTGGTTTATGTTGTTGTCATGTTTTGTTGAGTAATTACTCTAAGAATAGAGTAAACTATTACTCTAAGAATAAAGTAAACTTTTGTAGTCATAAAAACCCCTCTCATGTCATTAAAATGCATCATCCTCAAATTAATATGCACACTTCAAAATAATTATGCTTTTGTAACTCTGACAGGATTTGCATATGATGCTAATTTTCAATTAACAGACTCAGATGTTGAAATAATACAAAACTAACAAATTAAAATAATATTTTTATAACTTCCACTAATAATTTTCGAAGCACATTAATTATATTTGGTTAATTTTATTTGCAAATGTATGTATTTGGGGATTACTTTGGTACCTTCCAAAATCTGGAATTTGGGTCTCCAAGGACTATAACTCTTCTTGAGCTGCTCACACAGCCACCAGTTCCACGTGAAGTCCCAGCTAAAACAGGTTTTAATTTTTTTAAACAATTACACCCCCTTTATTTAGATGAATGTTAATTAAACCACTTCCAGAAATCCAGTTCAGCTTACCAAAAAAGTAGGACATCGCATGAAATCACATTTTGATTTCTTGAGAAATTAAAAAGAGAAATCAACCTAAAAAACCCTAAGGCTTGTATTCCATATTCTAACAGTTAAACTTTAAACTGCTCTGTTACTTACCAAACCCTCACTGGGCATAATGCTGGTGAGATGAACTACCTCAAGATGTGCTGACTGTGACACCAGAGAATCGGATGAGAGAGAAATGATGTGGTCACAAATCCCAGACAAGGTTTTACACTGCAAAGAAAAACAACTCAACATAATTTCTCATATTAAACTGAAACTGATGGAGAAGAAGTTCTTATTCTGAGAACTAACTTAGAATAAACACATTAATTTTACTTCTTAGCATTGTGAATACTACAGGTATATGAAAATTCAGGTATTTAATAATACAGATAATGTATAATTAATAATACATTACATGCAGAAATAATACAGGCATATGAAAGCCAAGAACAAAAGCGTATGGGCACATAAAATCCCCATGGATGTCCAGAAAATGTACACCCCTTCTGATCAAAAGATTTTCCGGTGCACTGAGAACATCTGTATATCTAAAATACTTTCTCCACTCTTATATGCAGTGTTGTGTTGTGTTTTGTTGGGTTTTTTAATTAAAAAAACTGATTAACTTAATCTTATATCATTATAATGTTTATTTATAAATACCATGGGAGTTGAGTGTAGTATGTAAAATTAAATGTCATACAGCAACTTAATAACCTATTTTTGCTAGCAAATAATGAGAGCAACTTTATCAACAGTCATAATTAGGTGAATCCTGCATTGTGCAGCTTGGAAAGCCTGCCCTTTGTTAAAAATTACACTGGCAGAAAAGTGCCTTAGTTAATCCATTTCCTGAAGTAAAATTCTTATGCATCTTTGAACACATCCTTTAACTGATATTCTAGATCAATGCAACTAAGCAATAATTTTGTTATCTTGCCTTCCAGCTAAAGATCTCTAAATCTTAATGCCAATCCACGTGAACACCCCACAGATGGTAACAGTGAGAGACTAAACCTCTCCACCAAGGGCTATGGATCAGAAAGGAGATGATCTGTGCTCTTAAAGAACCTTCACGTGAGATTTATTCCCCACTTTGCTAGTGTTGCCCAAGCATTCCTTCAAAAGGACTATGCCTAAAAATATTGGAACCTAATCTGATTGCATTCCTTTAGATGAATTTCAGAATGGTCTTCCAGCTGAAGTTGTGCTTTTTGCATCTATTTTCCTTCAGGGACTATCCTCTCATTTTCCCTAATTACAGTAAATTCTAGTGAAATCCTTCATGGGAAGTTTTATTTCAGGCAAAAAGCATGAGGATTTCTAATATCTCATTGGACAATATACATATGAGTTAAACAAATAAAGTTGCCACAGTGAATAACTAAACTGACTGAACTTGTGGATTATATTTCTATTCACTGTATTGTTACTCATCTGGAAAACCAAGTACAGCTCTGGAGCATGGGATGTGGCATTTCATATCAGCTGAAAGATGCAAAGCCTCCCATTCAGGTTTGCCTGACAGCATTGAAAGGTCACCAAAACCCAGAAATATTTCTAGCAGTTTCAGCTTTGGGCCAGAGACCTTCAACAAAACTCTAGGTCCTATTTTCTCCTAGCAGAGATATAGGAACTGACTGGCTCAAAGGAAATAATTGTACTGCTACATACAAAGTGGTGGCTGGCCCTGTCTGTGAGTATATGCTTCATTCTGCTTCTGGGTTACTGCCATATAAAATATTACTATGATATTAGTCATCTAGTAGACTAACATTAATATTCAAACTGAGAACCTCTCTTTAACACCTTAATGTTTAAGATCATATCCACAGATTAGATGCAGACTAAAGGCCAGAGAGAAAGCTTCCTAGTTTCTGATGCAATGTTTTAACTTTACAGTTGTCACATGTAAATATTTTTCTGTACAGAAACTTTGTAACAACACAAGCAGCAAACAAGCTTTCAGTCTGATTTGTTCTTATGAATCTTTAAGATTTCCATATAATTCAGAAAGTTAATGAAAATCAATGTAGGATTTTAGCACCAGGAAAATACTGAATAAAATTATATTAAAATATTTTTAAAACACCAATTTGCTGTAAAAGCAGTTCAGTGGATCCATCAGAGGCCTGACAACAGTTGTACCTAAAGCCTGAGATGGTGTAAATGGAAGTGACTGAGCAAAATTTATGAATAATAGCACAGGGTCAGGAAGTAATATTTGACATGGCACTATCAACATGAGATGACACATTAACATAAGCCAAAGTATTTTTGCAATTAAAAAAGTAGAAAGGACCAAAGTTTTGTGTACTGATTCCTGAGCCACAGAGAAGCCAAGTGCCCACTCTTTAGATGGGGCAATACTGCTGCACTTCAGAAAATCTGAAACAAACATGGGTGCTTCAAGAAATTCAGTACCCATTGCAGAGGAATATCCATAGAGTTTTACAACCTGTCCAACACCTAATTTTACATTTTTAGATGTCTCTCAATGGCCCATGGCAAGAACAGAATCTCTAGCAAACCACTAAGTCTTGAACAAGTCATAAGAGCTTATATGTCACAAGAAGTATTTTTACTATGGCAGCCACTGTATTCATTACAATTAATATATGTAAATAATATTAATTTACTGCCATGAGAAAGAACAACTAGCTTGTTGGAATTTTTAATTATCACAGGCATATTATATTAGTCTAAAAACTGAGTCAGTCCTCACATTTTGCTGAACAGTTATCTGAAAAAAGGAAAACTGCCAGACACACAGCTCAGGTGACCCTGAAATCCTTCACAATTCATCTTCTCTCATCATCCCTGAGCTGCAGAGCTGACCCAGTGTGGCCACAGGAGTCATGAGGGAATGGCCACTGTGCCCCTGCACTCACATCATCTGAGCACACACCGCCTTTCTGAGGAGGGAGCTCTTCCAAACACACCCACACATGAGTGGGTCTCTCCAGTAAGCAATGAAGAAAGAAAATCATGGATCATAATTTTATAAACCTGCCTTGACTCCTAAGTATACATTTCTTACTATGTCTTGGAAGTAAAGCAAAAATCCCTGTAATGTTTAAGAGTAATAGATATCACCTCTTACAAATGTAAGATTTTACTTTAGAGAATCACAATTTTTCTTGAGTATTTAAATGTAATTAATTTTTTATTTTTAGAAATAAAATTACCATAATAGAAATTAAACACTTAAAGTGTATTCTTGAATTCCTTGAAACTTTTATTTATATTTTTTTAAGATGCTGTGAGAAAGATGGTGATTCTTCTCCTTCACTGTAATGTGAGTTACAATGATAAACAGGTTGATTCTCAGAGCCTGGATGCTCTGCAACAGGTTGTTTCACAGGTGATTTTGTTCAGGCTGAGATTAATTCTCCTGCCTTGGGATCCAGGCTCTTTAAGGTTCATCACACTGTCACTGCTGAGCCCATGGAATACTTGAAACTTTTATCTTTTCTACCTTTTCAGGCTGCCAGA